CTAGATTCCTTACACCCAAAGCTAGAAGTCTTGCATCGTGAGCCAGAAGCCTTACACCTTAAACCAGAAGGCTTATACTTAAGCCAGAAGCCTTACACCCAATCCAAAATTACATGAAAATGTCCAAAGATTACATGTAAATTAATGTTACCATCACACAATATTTAACCCTTGCACGCTAAGCTAGAAGGCTTACACCTAAAGTCAAAAGCTTGCACTAAGAGTATAATTACATGAAACGCCTTAGGTTTATATGTAAATCAATGTTATTATCACATTGTACAAAAGACTTGCACCCTAAGGTAGATGAATTGCACCCAAGTCTTCTGGCTTGGGTAAAAGCCTTTTGGGTTAGGGTGCAAGGTTTTAACTTAAGGTGCAAGGCCTCTAGCTTAAGGCCTAGCTTAGGTGTAAGCCCTCTAGCTTAGGATGCAAGGTTTTAGCTTGGGTGCAAGGCTTTTGGCTTGGATGAAAGGCTTATGGTTTAAAAAATTACATGTAATATCTTGTAGATTACATGTAAATCAAATAAATAAGGAGCATTTATTATCAATTTCCCTATAATTATATGAAAATGACAACTAATTACATGTAAATCAGTATGGGAAAAAATTCACGAGCCTGCTTGAGGAATAATTTATATGTAATCTCTAGCGAATTACATGTAAATTGAATGCACAAAGAACACACCCTATCAATCCCCTAAAATTATATGAAAATGACTACGAATTACATGTAAATCAATATGAGAAAAATTTAGGCATATGACTGAGGAAAAATTTACATGTAATCTCTAGTGGATTACATGTAAATCAAACACACAAAGGGCATCCCTTGTCAATCCCTTAAAATTACATGAAAATAACTATAGATTATATATAAACTAATATGTGAAGAAACTCAGAGTATGACTAAGGAATAATTTACATGTAATTTTAAGCAAATTGCATGTCAATCAAACACACATAGAGCAAGCCTTCCTTAGTGCCCGTAAATTATATGAAAATGACTACGAATTACATGTAAATCAATATATGAAGAAATTTATGAGCATGCTTGAGGAATAATTTATATGTAATATCTAGCATATTACATGTGAATGAAACATATAAAAGTATATCATTATCAATACCCTTGAATTATATGAAAATGACTATAAATTACATGTAAATGACTAAGTCAAAAGCTTTGCACCTTAAACTAGAAACCTTGTACCTAAGCCATAATAAGTGCACTTTAAGCTAAAAGCCTTGCACCTAAATCAGAACCCTTGCACTATAAGCTAATATGCTTGCACCCTCTAATTCTAATACCCTAAATTAAAAAATATATCATGGGAAGTAAGCAAAACATCATGCCCATGTTAAACCACATCCTACCCTATATAAAAAATAAATAAAGGAACACTTACAATAAGTTATCTCTTTTTAAGTATTATACATTGTATAGCAAGCTATGTTCACATATAAAAGATGCGAATTTAATAATGTAACATAAAGGACAATTGAATTGTTTTGAAAGAGCAAATGAACGTGAAGAGCATGAACGAACAATAATAATTTCAATGAAAGAACATTAATTCCATTAGGTTTGGTTTATCTTTCTATTAAGTACAATTAAAATGATAAATAAAGACTATAAAGCACCTCATATCAACAAATATACCACGGGGGCTTAAGGACAACATTATACCCATGTTAAATTATATCTTATGTTACATAAAAAAACAAATAAAGGGGATGGTCATAAGTATATTTTAAAGTACAATCTCAATTTCATTCAATCTTGTAGGGAAATCTCATGATTAGCATTTTTTTGTAGCTCACTTGAATTATGATATGCATAAGTTAAATTTACAAGAGCTTCTTGATTTGAACTTATTTTTTTTCATATTCATATGAAACTTTATGCTTTAATGCGTCTAAAACATTATGCCTAAAATAAAATTAGTAGCCATCATAAGTGGGTCATTCATGGCATACTACATTTAGGTATAAGATGTTTATCCAAAATGGAATGCGTTTAGTAGTATTACCAATTCCCAAACTTATCACTTTTATGTCAAGGTACTTCTATAAAGGTGTGGCCCTTCTTCTAGTAATCTACTCTCCGTAATAAAAAGGTAAAATGAAAGTCAACACAAAGGATATTGTAAAGTAATGCAGTATCAAACACTATAATAAAAACAGACTCAACATTTAAGGAGTGAAATAAAGAAAGATTCCTTATTGCATCATTTAATTACTTAGATTAAACAAAAGATAAAGATGTTGAATATTGCCTCTGTTGTACTCCTTTATAGGTCTGTAGGACACATAAATTTCTAGATTTAAACACTTCATTCTGAATCATATATTATAAGAAAACATCTCATTTTCACTATTTTTGACCCTACATCAATCAATTACAACAATTATTCAAATATAACATGTAAGGAGTAAGGTAAGTAAAGGTATTGTTTTGAATATCACTTGAATGACTATTTTCATTTTCATAAGAAAATGAAATTTGATCATTATCAGTCAATGTTAAAAGAAAAACATCAATCAATGCAAATGTTTACATACGCTTTCTCTCTCTTTTAATTTATGAAAACTAGGGACTAGACCACCAACTAACTTTAACATATGAACTACCAAGTTGAAATAGGCAGACTATGACATACATATTGCTTTGTGTATAATATTGGAAATCCTTTACCAAAGAGAATATAAAATCAAGAAATGAATACAAAAAGAAAACTATAGATAGTCAAAACTCTACCAGTTGCACTATGATAATAGTTAACTAAATTTAAGGTGTTGGAGCAATAGAACAAGACTAGAAGCATAAAGTGTCAAATGGTATTACAAACCTTTGGAAAGAGATAACAAGCTTGAAGTTTCACTATATTAGCATTGTCGGAAACTTTTGTCTTGTAAGCTTTTAAGGAAGATAAATTTTTAGCTTTTCTAATTGTGGCACATTCTTTTGCATATGCAATGTCATGTAAACATAAATAAGCAAATATGCACATATTGTAGACATTAGTTTGAAAGGTTGTGTAGAATTTTTAAATGCAAAAAATAAGTTATGGAATGAACAACTGTATAGAATCATGCTTAAAATTTTAGGAACCTGAGTTTAAATTTAATTGTATCATTAGATGGAATTCATCAATTGATTAGTCATATTCAATGAGTTTCAAATTTCATTACTATAGTTTATTTAACAGAGTAGAGATAATTATTCTCAAGTGTTCTTCCAACAATATCGAAATCTTCTCATTAACACCAAAAGTTAAATGTATCAAAAGTATATTCTTTTCAGTTCACCAAAATGCACAAGCGAACCTTGCATGAACTTCTTAGTTTTGTAAACAACTTTTCAAAGATTATACAATCTGTAATGACTCTTCTAATACATATTCTACTAGAAGTTAGCAAAAGCCTATTTGAGTACAGAAACCAACTCCAGATAACTCGGGCCATTATCATTGTAATTTGTACAATGTGGAAAAAGTAATTTAGAGATTATTGAACAAAAAGGTTATCATTAAAAATCATTGAAATTTGAAACTTTCTCTTATTCTCTTTTATCGGCAACTAATAAGGGGCTCACAATTATTAGTACATAGAATAATTTAGAAATGATTGCTTGGTAATAGAGAAAACTTTGCTTAATAAACTTGACAAACTATCTTTGTTTTGCCATAGAGAAAAAGAAAAGAACACAACATGATTCAGTCCGCTTTCAAAGTTAATGAGTAAGCTATCAGGTCAATGAGAATTAAAAAAAAAAAAACTTCTCACTAATGACCTCCACCCCAATACTGCCTAGCAACAAAAAATCACAACTTTTACTACATGGAAGGAAAAGAAGCTATGGATATGAAAATTTAACGATACTAGTAAGCAATTCTTCAGGTGCCATCACGCATTTGCATATGCCAACATTTTTTACATTCAAGGGCATATTTTGACTCCTGCAACATCCAAATGAAGCCAAAAAAAAAAAGCAAAATTTGCATGTAAGCTTTTCTGCATTGGATCTCATTTCTTTGAGGAAATGTATAGAAAGCAAGAATAGAATTGGACTTGACATGAAACAAATATCTTGTGTTAAAGTTTGAGGAAGCTAAGAAAGTGAAGGAGGATGAAGAGATTGAGATCGCTAGATTGTGGGAGATTATGGAAGACACTTCAAGTGAGATAATGGTGAAAAACTGCTTTATCTAAAACCAGAAGTGAAGATGGGCAGAGTCACTTGTCAAAAGAAGGAGCCTTAAAAGTAGTTGTAACACATTTGCAAAAGTTGTAAAATTAAATGTATATAAACATGAGAGCAATTATTAGACAAAATTAATTCAGGTGAAGGTGACTTTGAGAGTGATCAATAGGAATGGAAGTGAAAGGGCAAACCAAGAAAGATGATGACTTGGAGGAGTAGGGTTGCCCAAAATCGTCTCCAATTTCTTAGACCATTTTCTCCCAATAACAAAGGGTATTTTTGTCCATTCTCTTTATCATTTTTTTGAATGAAATAAGAAGATTGGTCTTTTAATGTACTTTCATCTGTAGGCACAATTTAGCTCTCAATCTGATCTTTTTCACTAATTTTTTTTTTTTGAAAAAGTCATTCTTTCAGGCGTCTGATTCATGACTGCGTACTGCATAGACCAATCGCAACTTTTTTAACAGAAAAAAAAAATGTCTCAATTTCGAGACCCTGCCGCCGGTGGCCGCGGGTCGGGGGTGAGAGCGTGTCTGCCTCCCATGCGGATGAAGCCGCCGCCTTGATAAAAAAAGCAGTTTTGTAAATACGAAAAATAACATATTCTGGTGCGGGCGGTTCCACATCACATTTTCTGGCAATCAGCCACGTGCCTGTCACATTTCATCAAATCCTACGTGGTCAACTAATGTTGGTTGCGTAACATGTACGTCTTCGTACCACGTTCTCTCTGATCCAAACAACGGTATCTTCCAGACCAACACCCACCTATGCTCGCGGGTTCTTAGGCCAAGTGACGTGGCCTTCAAGTTCCGAATCGTCTGCCACCTGCGTCTTCCCTTCATTATTCGTTTCTTCCTTTTCGTCTTCACACGCCGATCGTGTTTTCGTCCATTTTGCTTTCTTTGTGATTGTCAAGATCATCCTTGAAATGTTTATACGATAAAACGTCGAGATGTTAGAGGATCAGGTGGCATACCTCTTGCAGAGGTACCTTGGCAATTATGTGAGGGGCCTCAACAAAGAAGCCCTCAAAATCAGTGTCTGGCAAGGTCCGTAAGTCCTTCATTGCATTTTCATAGTTCTTTACTATACTGCTGTGTTGAAATCAGAGTGTGACTGTTAGTTTGTGACCTCCATGGAGTGATTACATATAATCACGAATAGTTTGTAATTGCTGTCTTCAAATTCTCAACCTGCTGACGTCGAGACCGCGAACTCTGACTTGCATATAGGATAGTAAGCGAGGGAAATATGCGCGAATTTGTTGCTGCGTTAGAAGGCTAGAAGCCTTGAACACTGTAGTTTTTGGTGGGTTTGAGTTTTGTGCTTATAGCCAGTTGAACGTACAACTTCAAAAAGAAGTGATAAAAGATGCTAAAGAGACGAGGAAATGTATAAATGATAGGCAGCAGCCCATCTCTTCAAGTTAGTGAACTTGGTCTATGAGTGAATAGAGAGCATGGTGTTTGTTGATAGACGGAAAAACTAAAAAGGAGATACTTATAAAAGGAGTTTTCTTGCTCTCGTGAATCTTTAGAAACTTCTTCCTGCCTCTTATGTTATTATGTGATGCAGTCGAAGTTATATCTTGTTACTGACAGCTGGACAGGAAGGGTGCATCAATCCGTTGTATAAAGCTCGTGGTTGTTGTTGTTGTATTTTTTTAGTGACACTGTAGAGCTGATGCATTTCAGTCTGAGTTGTGAGACATGTCAATCCAATTTTACGTTCAGCTGAACAGTCGGAATTCTTGTTATTCACTTCTAATCTCTCTAACGTGTTGACTTGGCTCTTTTTGCCATACTAGTTTCTTCTATATGCAATACATGTATATAGTCTCCAGTATTAGAGGGCTTCTTCTGTATATTTCTTAAAAGCCAGGATTCCCCCCCCCCCCGCTACTTTTTAGTATCATTGTGCCAATAATGGGTGATATTAAAATTATAGCCCTGCTAATTGGTAAATTGCTAAAATTTCTTGCCGGCTTGGTCAATATCATTAAGCATTCAAAATGATCATAGATTTATCCATTTTTAAGTGGGCCAAGATTCTAATCATATTCAATTCTGGAGTTCGTTGCGGGGGCCTGGAATATAATGACAAGGATCTTGAGAGCATTTTGAAAATCCTATTTGGAGTTTTGTGGAGGCTTGATTGAGGCATTCACTTTTGGTCATTGGTTAGCCTGCTTCTGGTTTAGTGTGGTTTAATATAGTCCAGGACTGGGTGATTTGGATCTTGTTCTTTTTCCCTACTTTTCTACCCCCATCTGTTTGTTTCATGAAGGACGAAGCCACTGTGCTTGGTTACTCTAGATTATGTTTTCATACGAAATTTGTGTTAAGATATTTATTAGTTTGAAAGAACTAAAGCAAGCTTGTAGGTGTACGCCTGCAATTTTGTCTTCCCCTTTTCATTTTATTGGAGCTAAGAATGCAGACTTTGCATTTTTCCAACAACCCCTGAATTGAGGAACAATATTTCTGTTTTACATGCTCTTGTTTCAGGCTACATTTTCTATGTCATTTCTAATCTCTTTCTTTTCTTTTTAACTAAAATGTAAAACAGGTGATGTGGAGCTTAAGAATATGCAGCTCAAGCCTGAGGCTCTAAATGCTTTAAAATTGCCAGTAAAGGTTAAGGCAGGGTTTCTTGGTTCAGTCAAACTTAAGGTTGGTTGTTGAATTTATCAATTATGATTCCAAAATTATACCCATTTAAATGTATAAAATTTTCTCACACTTGAGAGTTCTCAAGAACAAAAATCCAAGTGACGCTAAAGTGATCATCAACAAAGATTAAAAACCATCGGCACCTAGTTATGTCTCTGGTTTTTGAAAACCCTCATGTGTCACAACGAATAAGATGGAAGGGCTATGGTGGTGTATAAGTGTATGTAGGATAATGTGATTTGATTTTCTTTGCAAGTTCAAATGTTTCACACTTTATTTCACTGATGTTATTATTAAATAGACTTGGTTATGTCTTTTCCATGAAGTGAAAATTATGGTGACCTAGTTCAATGTGCCAAAGCATAAATTAGACTCAGATTTAGTGTGATCTTTTTGCGCTTATGAGATATTGTCCATCCACTCCTTAGCACTGCCAATCATCTTGGATTCCATGTCCTAAAATTCACAATCCCCGTCAAAGAAGTGAATCTTACAGTTTTATCTTTGATAAGCTTTACTAGTAAACAAAGGCTTGAAGGTTAATTTAGGAACAAATAATACATTCTATAAACAGAATAATAATAGATATGGTGCTTTTCTGTGTGCTATTAATATTTGTTAGGGTATCATCAACAATTTTTCGCTATGAACAATGAGGTGTGGGGGTTAATATTAAATAGCTATTCATCATATGTGATGCTATTAGAAGCTCCAGAGTCAAGAATTCACTGATTTTTATTTGCTCAAGTGTTCAATGCGGTTGAAATCTTACCTGATTGGGGCATGTTGTTATTAGCCCCTACATTTTTTTTTTCTCATTAGCGTTTTGAGATCCGAACAACTTATGCAACAAGTCATGTTGATCCTTTGAGAGTGGATTCCGATTTGGTTCTGGTTCAAATCGCTCTTCTCCTTTTGCAACAAAGCCTTTGTTCTCATTTATGTTGGGAGGCTTCTCAAGTAACTTTCAACAATTTTCTTGCGGACCTCAGATTTGACAGTGATCACGTCGCCCTTTGCCATTTTTCTTATTGTCATTATTTGGGGGGTAAGTGATATTTTTCATTAAAAAACCTTAAGGAAATTATACTATGGGGTGCATATATGTCGACTTCCTCAACGTTATCCTAGTCTAATGCCAACTTTTGGACAATAGGCTGCTAGAGTACAACAACAACAAGCTTTTATCCCACTAGGTGGGGTCGGCTACATGGATTGCAAGACGCCATTGTGCTCTATCATTTATTAAGCTTTTAGAAATATTATTAATTAAGAGATCACGTTCAACAACTTCCAAGAGTGTTCTCTTAGGCCTTCCTCTACCTCTCTTAGTCGGACTCAAAGTTATATGTTCCACTTTTCTCACTAGTGCCTCCCTTGGTCTTCTTTGTACATGCCCAAACCATCTCAACCGATTTTCTACCATTTTTTTCTCAATAGGTGCCACCCTCACTTTTTCACGTATGTGCTCATTTCGAATTTTATCTTTACGTGTATGTCCGCACATCCATCGTAACATTCTCATCTCTACTACTCCAACTTTATGCTCTTGCTGTCCCGTTAGAGCCCAGCATTCACTACTATATAACATTGCCGGTCTGATAGCAGTACGATAGAACTTTCCTTTAAGTTTATTAGGCACCTTACGGTCACAAATAACTCTTTTAGTTTTTCTCCAATTAAACCACCCAGCTTGAATTCTATGTGAAATATCTCCACTGATTTCGCCATCATTTTGAATAATGGCTCCCAAATATCTAAACTTTTCCACTTGAGGTATAATTTGATCTCCCAATTTCACTTCCAAATTATTTTCGAATAGTCCTTTACCAAATTTACAATATAAATATTCCGTCTTATTTCTACTCAGACGAAAACCTTTCGACTCCAATGTCCTCCTCCATAACTCAAGTTTGCAATTAACCTTTTCTCTTGTCTCTGCTATAAGAACTATATTATCCGCGAAGAGCATACATTTCGGGATTTCCTCTTGAATATGTTCCGTCAAAACATTTAAAATCAAGTTGAACAAATAAGGACTCAGAGATGATCCCTGATGTAGTCCAATCTTTATAGGAAAATCCTTTGTTTGACCATTAGGCGTTCTTATACTAGTTTTTACCCCCTCATACATATCTTGTATGGCTTTAATATAAGCAATCCGTACTCCCTTTTTTTCCAACACTTTCCAAAGCACTTCTCTTGGTATACGGTCATAAGCTTTTTCCAAATCAATAAAAACCATGTGTAGATCTTTATCTTTACAACGATACTTTTCCATTAATCCCCTTAGTAGATAAATCGCCTCTGTAGTTGATCTACCTGGCATAAAACCAAATTGATTCTCAGAAATACTTGTCTCCAATCTCAACCTGTGCTCAATTACTTTCTCCCACAATATCATTGTGTGGCTCATGAGTTTAATCCCTCTATAGTTAGTACAATTCTGAATATCTCCTTTATTTTTATAAATAGGAATTAATGTACTTCTCCTCCACTCATCAGGCATTTTCTTGGACCGTAAAATCACATTAGATAACTTAGTTAACCATCTCACCCCTTCTTCACCTAAACATTTCCACGCTTCGATAGATATACAATCAGGTCCGTTAGCTCTACCATTTGCCATTTTCTTAAGAGCTTCCTTTACCTCCTTATCACATATTTTTCGATAGAATGACAAATTTTGTTCTCCTTCACCAGTTACTAAATCCTCCAAGTTACTAGATGAATACTCTCCATCATTGAAAAGTTTAGAAAAATAAGTCTCCCATCTATTTTTAATTTCATCATCTGTAACTAAAATTCTTCCCTCTTCATCCTTAATACACCTTACCTGTTCTAGATCTCTTGATTTTCTTTCCCTACTCTTAGCAATCTTATAAATATTTTGCTCTCCTTCCTTCGTCTCAAGGTTCTTATAAAATTCTTCAAAAGCTTTGGAACGAGCTTCACCCACAGCTCTCTTAGTTTCCTTCTTAGCCATACGGTACCTCTCCCAATTTTCCTCATTGTTACACAAATGTATGGCTTTAAAACAGTTCTTCTTATACTTGATTTTGTCCTGTACACTATTATTCCACCACCAAGACTCCTTATCTCTCGGACCAGAACCTTTCGATTCTCCCAAAACTACTTTTGCAACCTCCCGTATCTTTTTAGCCATATCCTCCCATATGATGTTAGCACTTCCCTGAGAATCCCAAATTCCTTTATCCAAAAGATTTCGCTTGAAAATATCTTGCTTCTCACCTTTTAATTGCCACCACCTAATCCTTGGTGTTACTACTTGTCGACGTCTTTGGATTTTACTCATAATACACACATCAAGGACTAGGACCCTATGTTGTGTCGTTACAGCATCTCCAGGGATCACCTTACAATTTTTACAAAGTTTTCTATTTGTGTTCCTAACCAAAAGAAAATCAATCTGCGACCTTGAGGCTCCACTTTTGTAAGTGATGAGATGCTCATCTCTCTCGTTGAAACAAGTGTTGGCAATCTTAAAATCATACGCCAATGAGAAATCAAGAAGAGTTTGCCCTTCATTGTTTAGCTCTCCAAAACCAAAACCACCATGCACCCTCGCATACTGACTAGCTTCCCTCCCGACATGCCCATTAAAGTCTCTTCCAATAAAAATCTTTTCACTCTGTGGTATGTGTCGAATCAACCCCTCCAGATCCTCCCAAAATAATTCCTTAAGACTGGCTTCTGTCCCGACTTGCGGCGCATAAGCGCTAACAATATTAACAGTCTCACGTCCAATTATCATTTTTAAAGAAATAATTCTGTCTGCAATTCTGCTAACTTCTACAACGTTCTTCTTCCACTCCTTATCTATAATGATGCCTACTCCATTGCGTGCACTTACTTTTCTTGTATACTAAAGTTTGAAACCTTGAATATCCTTAGCTCCTTTTCCACGCCATTTTGTTTCTTGCAAGCAAAGGATATTGATTTTCCTTTGAATCATAACCCCTACAACCTCTACAGATTTACAATTTAATGTCCCAACATTCCAAGTACCAAATCTAATTTTGCTCTTATGGACTAACTTCTTTAGCCGCGTGCGTCCAGAATGACGCGGTAGCCCTTGCTCATTTAACACTACATCCGGGCGCCGATGCAGCGGCTCTAACTCACTTATCACTGTACTCGAGCCATGCAGCGCGTTACTTACGGGCAACGACCTAGCATTAACATTATAACGTCTATTGTCCATGTTCATGATAGATTCAACAAATTTTTACATTGGCTGTTGATGGTCTAACACAACCCTCCTCCTTTACCCGGGCTTGGGACCGGCTATAAACATAGGCTGCTAGAGTACAAGCTAACCAAACCGCAAGGTAAGACTCTTTGTTAACCTTTCATTAACTAGATGGTTACATATATAAGTATATTTTTATTACCTATAAATATATTTGTTGTACTAATACCTTTCCCCCAAAAGAAAAGTTTGCCATATCCTGCACTTATAATTTGCAGCAACACTTCGGTCCAAGAGAAGTTTTGGATTTCCAGGCTTTTAGTTTCAGGTGGACAATAAAGAAAGTTGAGGCTGTGGTCCTTTTGGTTGGAGACAGTGATAGAGTATTTAAGCATTACTTTTATGTACTATCACATTTTGTATTACTATATTTTGGCTTCCTTGTAATCTTTAAGGACATGTGTAGGAAAATTAGTGAGCCTTTTTCTGCTGCTAATACTGTATTTTTTGGCAGTATTGTAGGATCTTGATTTCTCTTTTTGTCAAAATTAGGTTTCCTCATTTGCAGTTGGTCAATATCCATTACGTCTTGTTTGGTAGCATGGAAGCGTTTTTGATGGAAGTAGAAGTGAGGTAGAAATGGAATTTTAAAACATGTTTGGTATGCACATGGAAGGGGGTATAATTTTTAATTGAAATATGTATTTATAGTATGAAAATACCAAAATGTCCTTTAAAAAAAAAAACTCTTTTGCCATCAGAAGCTTTCACAACCACCCTGAATCACTGTCGAAGGACAAAAAGAACTGCTGTCAAAGCCAAAAATTGAAAGTAGGACAAAGACCAATCAACAAAGCATCCAATATCATTGGATGCAAAAATCTACACGTTTTTTGAAATCTCCCTAGCTACACACACCAAAATGAATCTAAAACACAGAAGTTAGTCTACAAGAAGAAGATCAACACCACAAGAAGAACAGTTTAAAATTGAAGTAGAATTAGAAACATCAATGATGCATAACATAAACATTGTACTTAACAATGGCATCCCCTGAATTGGGAAGGAACCAGTGGGTTTGAGCCTTGATGTATCCTTTGGAAAATCTGAAAAGCCCACTTCCTTTGATTATTGGCATCTCCCTTGCCTTTTTGAACACTGGCTTCCTCCACAGCACTGTGATGGTGCTTCCATCTTACTTCAAGTCCCTTCCACGAACGCGAAGTTCATGGCAATCAGAAGCTATATCTCATTGCGACCTCGGCGAATAAAACCCTTAATCTCTTCCTATCACTTTAGAGCTCAAATCTGGACCCTTTTTCAGGGGATTATCGATTGTGTTTAGCAATATGAAGGTGGTGGTGGAGTTTATTGGCAGAGGAACTAAGGGGATGGAGGTGGGATTGCGACTATTGATGGAGATTTTCTTTCTTGAGACTAAGGAGCTTCCAGTCAATTGCACAAACAAAGTTGTATTGAGCAACAATGAAAATGAGAAGAGGAGGAGTATAAGTTGCTAGTGAACATTGGAGGTGGATGCGTAGGAGGGAGAGACATAGGTCATGATGGCAAGGGAGGCCTTTGAGAGAAGAGAGATTTAGAGGTGTAAAATTTGTCATTTGAAAAAATAGCTAGGGGTGTAACAATTAGAAAATCTCACTTCTAGGGAACTCAAACTAGTTCCATCCGGTATAGCATGGAAGTCAATTCTGTCAATTTTGATGGAAGTGAGTTCCTCATGGAACTGAGGTCATGTTTGGTACGGTAGAATAAGAGGTAATGGATTGAGAATAAGAGTAGAATAGGCTTATTACCTTATTTGGTACATTGCAATGATCATTCTAATGGAATGACTCATTACCTCATTTGAGATAATCCCCATTTCATCACTAGACCAGGGGAATGGGTGCATTCCATGGGAATGAGTTTTTGGGTGACCAAATTCTCCCTGTGATTTTTTCAAATTTCAATTTTGCCCAAATCCATAATCCATCTCTCTCACCCTCCACCATTCGCCCTTTGTCTTTTTATCACCATTTTCTCACCGGCGTTGTCTGCACTTTGCACTCATCTCCCATGCCCTCCATTGCTCATCTCCTTCATTGATCTCTATGAATCTCCCTCACCGTCATTGAGTTTTTGGGTTCATTAAGATTGTGATAAGATGGTGTTGGAGGGGGATTTTTTTTTTTTGTTTTGAAATCTTTGGATATGTTGTATTTGATTGGTTATGCTGTAATTTGCTTAAAAAAAAAAAATTGCCTTTAGTTTCTGGAATCTGGAAAATTTCATTTATGAGGAAGAAGCATAGGAGGAGGAAGAAGAGGGCAGTAGGGTCTTGACAAGGACATTTTAGTATTTTAATAATATAATTACAGATATAAAATAAAAATTATGTCATCGTTCCACTTACACACCGAACATACATTTTAAAATCATTCCCATTCCCATTCCATCAAAAATCATTTCATTGTACCAAATGGGGCCTGAGTTCCAATGTACTAGACACTATTTTTTCAATTTTGAGTCCACTTCCCCTTCCTTGATGTCAATTCCAGCATACCAAGCAGGCCTTAGTAGAAGTTAGAAATTCTAGTCTGCTTGGTTGTTTTATGGGCTGAGGTGGCAGTTCATTGTTAAGGTGATGGCTCTTGAATTTTAATTGTGATGATGTCTACAGAGCTTTTGGGATGAAGTCTAGAGATTTTTCTGTTTTTACTTAAGTATGCTTTGAGCAGACTATTTAACCAAGCATCCTCTTTTTTGCATAAGCAACTTTAGGCTTTTCAGCAAAAGCTTGAGAGTTATAATTGCTACAAGTGTTTTTTGAATCTATAGTTATGAGTGCTTGTGTATGTCCACTTAAGGTTCCATGGAGTAGGCTTGGTCAAGATCCAGTTTTAGTGTATTTGGATCGCATTTTCTTATTGGCTGAACCTGCAACTCAAGTTGAGGGATGTAGTGAGGACGCTGTCCAGGAAGCCAAGAAGAGCCGAATACAGGTAAAGATAACTAGTATATTTTTTTTAGTTATTTTAACCCAAAGACAAGGATTTTGATTGGAAATCTCTTCCCCTTATCTTTGGCAACAGGAGATGGAAATGAAACTTTGGGAGAAGTCACAGCAGTTAAAATCAGAGATGGTATGAGCTTTGATTTATATATTTTCAAATGAGTAGGAATAATGCACTTCAGGTGGTGTATCATTGTATGTATGAATATCATGCGTATGCACAGGGAGATGGATTCATATGTATTTATTTCTGTTTTTTAAGAATGTTCTGCATCCATGTTAATTATAATTTTAGACATTTTATAAATGGATTTCTACAACTAATAACAATTACACCTTGGCCACCAGTATGGGGATTGCGGTATCAAATGTAGCCCTAGGCAAATCTGCGTATGTGTGTAGCTGTGTTTGGACATTTATTTATTTTAACTTGTTCTTGCTGTTTCATTTTAAGAATAAATCTTGGCTGGGTTCCCTCATCAGCACCATAATTGGAAACTTAAAGCTTTCAATTTCCAATATTCACATCAGATATGAGGATTTTGAGAGGTAACCAATGTTTTTTTTTTTTTTTTAAATTTCTTTTGAGTCTCATTTCTTCTGTTATTTGAAAATTCTTCACTCTCAAGTTGCTGACGTAGCACGCTTTTTAACTTCTAATGTAGCCTGGTTAATTTCATTTTGTAGCAATCCCGGGCATCCATTTGCAGCGGGTGTTAGGTTGGAGAAGCTCTCAGCTGTGACAGTTGATGACACTGGGAAAGAGACTTTTATTACTGATGATGCACTTGATTGCATTCAAAAGGTTCTGTTGTGAACTGATAAGTGCTGTAACTGATGAAATCATTTTGCAGTGATTTAGATGCCAGCTTTATTTGTTGAAGTTCTAATATCTGTTAATGGGGAAAGATCTTTTTATTTTCACGTTCTCTTAGCTTGAGAAGAAGTGTAATTTGTTAATATTGTTCTTTAGTATGATCCACTCATTTGCTTTGCTTATTTACTGAAATTCTCTTGTCTAAGAAGCAGAATTCGTACTACATTAATTACTTCACTATTTGCGATTTTGCATTATGAGATTTTTTGGGCTTGGGGAAATAGGGCCGGGTCTTTTTGGGACAGGAACCATGAAAAATTTGTAAATTGAGGGAGAAAGAATGCTAGCAAAGTGGGCATAAGTCCGATTTCTTTGGCTACCTGGACATTTGTTAAGGGGAGAGAACATTAAGCTGGAAGGAGTAGAGAGGAAGGGAGGAAGAATCTAGTCCATTGTGGAGACTGGAGAAGTCTTTATTATTGTTGTTGTACCAGACCTTATAATGATACATGAGTTTCATCATACAATAATAATTCCATAACGATGATTTACTCCTTTTTTTTTTTGGGTCTCTGTTAATCTTTTTTCTTTAGGGGCTGACGTCTTTTCTGCTTATTGGTTTGCAGTCTGTTGAACTTGATCGGCTTGCAGTTTATTTGGATTCAGATATTTTTCCATGGCATGTCAGCAAGCCATGGGAGGATTTGCTTCCTTCAGAGTGGTTTCAGGTATATCCGTTAGATATTTATTGCTATGGCTTTCTTTGCGTGTGTTTTTGGGGGGGGGGATTATATCCACTTCTTTTATGCCCTTTGTCATCTGAATTTATGTCATATAGTTCCTCCTGTATATCTTTCAAACGGCTTGAGAATCACTTATGAAGGCGTCAAACCTAAATAAAATCTCATACTACCTCTTTGTTTCGCCTACACTCAGCTGAAGATCTACAAATCCACAAAAGATAGTGATCGAGTAATGGTGGGTGAGCACCATGTGCTGAAAATAAGACATTACATTGGCTGGGACCACCTAACTTAGATAAACACTAGAAGGATTGATTGAGGTGCGACTTGTATGAAGACCTTAACCATGTGGTTATCATACGATATTAAAAGATGAAAGGGGATAGTTAGGGGCTGTGGCAGTAGCTGTTGGGTATTCATAAACAACCCCAGATTGTTTTCTTAGAACATTTGTCCATCCAAGAACGTCTTCTTGATGGAATCTTGTAAATTCCTCTTTGGTTAAATGAATTGGCAGCTGATACTCCTTGTTCATATATGTTGACAGGCCATTGCTTGTATTTTCCATTGGGTTTTGCCCCTCAACTTTACCTGAAGGGTCATTAGGGACCCTAAACTCAATTATGAGTCAATTTTATCCTACAACGTTAAAGATTCCTTCTTTCATCACCCTGACGTTAAAAGCACTTAAAATCCGTTAGTTATTAGTGGGTCCCACTATTTTTTAAATACTTTTTATTGGGCTAAAGGTTAATTTTGCACCTCAACTTTTATTTGAAGGGTCAGTAGGCACTCTCAACTCAAATATTTTATAATAAAAAATATTAGAAAATGTAATGTGGGGCCCACTAATAGTGAGAAAATGATATGATGATAAGGGAGGAAATTTTTAAAGTTGAAAGATAGAATTGACCTATAGTTGAATTTGGAGTCTCCACTCCCCAGTGATCTTTTGGGTAAAGTTGAGGGGTAAAAGTGACCTTTAACCCTTGTCTATTAATTGTGATGAAAATTCTTCAATCACCCTGTGGAGTCTTGAACATGTTGCTTTAGGGTAGATATTTGACTGTCCGCCCTCTGCAACAGGCTCTGTTCCACTGAATGAAGCCTTCCATCCAATTCTTGTGGCCCTGCTTGAGTTCTTGTACTGTTGGCCATTCCCCCACAGTTTGAGAAAAGTGTCTATTGCTATTATGATAAAGATTTGAGGATAGGTAGAAGGAGAATAAATTTTTTTTTTTTTAATAAGAGGAGGAAGGGAGAGTAGGGAGGTAAGTTAGAGGAGAAGAGAAAACAGTAAAGAAGAGAGGAGAGATTAGAGAGAGAGAGAGGCAGGAGAATTTGGGTGAGAATTTGGAATCCATTCATAATGGTCAAACCTAGCTGTACAATCAGCTGCCCCTTCCCTTGTATGGACTACCATAGCTCAATAGCTAATGCCACACCCCAACTTCCCTTTCTTTATTTTCTTGGCCGACCCTAACTTCCCCTTTCATCTATTATAATCAAATCATGTATGGCGTGAATTCAACTAAGGAGGACAGAGGATGGCACAAGCCGTAGGAGCTTTAGCTCGAGAACTCAAAATAGTTTTATTTTTTGAGGCTACCATTTCTAGTTCAGATGCTGTGACACAATGTAGGTTAGAGAAAGAAAGAAGGGTGGTTGAAATGGGCAGAACTGCTCACTTTGCTTGCCTTTGGAATGGCACATGTTGCTTCTATTTTCATGTTCATTTTGTTTTATCTGCCTCTCACCTTCTTAACGAATTTATTCTTGCAAATTTATTAAAAAACTTCAGGTATTTAAATTTGGCACCAAAGAAGGGAAGCCAGCTGATTATGCATTGAGGGAGCACTCATACATTCTGCAGCCAGTGACCGGCCAAGCAAAATACTCCAAATTGCGACCAAGGGAAGTTGCTCAAAGCAATGAACCTTTACATAAAGCTGTGGTGAATTTGGATGATGTTACAATCTGCTTATCTAAGGTTCATTCAATGAATAATTTTGTTGTTGTTGTGATATGCCTCCCCCCCCCCCCAAAAAAAAAAATATGAACAATCTTATCATTTTTATCTTGGCAGGATGGATACAGGGATATACTGAAGTTAGCAGACAACTTGGCTGCGTTCAACCAACGCCTGAAATATGCTCATTATCGTCCACTAGTCATGGTTAAAGCTGATCCAAGATCTTGGTGGATTTATGCTTATAAAGCTGTCTCTGACCAGATGAAGAAAGCAAGGTATTTATACTGGTTCAGTTAACCCTGGTTTGGGATTATCACGGCCTTTTATTTTTAAAAGACCATAATTTTTTTTTTCAGTTTTCACAAGTATTTGCTTTTTATTTGGCAGTGGAAAGATGTCATGGGAGCAGGTTCTGAGACATGCAAGCCTAAGGAAGAGATATCTATCTCTATATGCTTCACTGCTAAAATCTGACCCCACTCAGGTGACAATTAGTAACAACAAAGAAATTGAGGAATTGGATCGTGAACTCGATATTGAACTTATATTGCAATGGAGGTATTTTTTTTTTTTTAAGATTTGGCATGTTTTGTTGATATTTGATAATCATGAATTTTTTTTTTTGCAACAAAAATCTCAACTACACGAGTCAGTAATTATTTTAGTCAATTCAATTATAGCATTATTGATTGAGTTCTTGTTTTCAGACTGGATTTGAATGGTGCGTATCCATTGTGGTATTGCTTGTATGTGGCTGGAACATTTTTATTTTTTTTTGCTTTGAAGTTGTAACCAATCCATTGTAGGATATTGTAATAACTTGTACATGTTGCTATTTGGAAAGAGAAATGTTCTTACATGCTGCTCTATTTCTTTCATGTAGCATGCTGTATAAAAATTTTAGACAAAGTCCTAGTCTTGCGTCCTGAAAATTATCTGTAATAATAAAGCAGCATGATTGGACCGGTGGTAGATCCATAATTTTGTTGTTGTAGGGCAACATATACAATAACAAGTCTTATCCTAATAGGTGGGATTGGTTATGTGGATTGTACATTGCCATTGTGTTCTCAACAACCAAATCTTTGGATATAACATTAAATTTCAAACCTGCGACATCTTCTCCAATTTGTAAAACATTTTAAACCTTTTATGTAAAACAATTTGTAAATTAATGCGACATCTTTCTTCTAACTATATTCTAACCAATTTCATATTTTAAATATCAATATAGATTGAATCTAGCAGGGGTATTCTCAAATTGTCTCCGAAAAATTAATATCTTTTGATTGGCAAGAACTCTTTCATAAATGATATCTTCTAATTGCCATCTCTATCATTCCAAATTTTTTGCCTATCATCAAGACCTTTTTACAATAAAATTTCAAATGTCTTTTTCTTTCTTTTTTAAACAGTTTGGGTATGTTTCTATCATTTGGTTATTTTGATGTAGATTTTTTTAAGGAACTTTTCATTGTTAGAACTAATATGAAATGAATATAATCACAATGAATTTTATGACGAAGGGACAAAAATATCATTAAAAAATCCCAATATATCATTATATACGATGAATTTTTAAGGGAAAAAAACAAGTCAAACTAAAATATATGCATAAAAAATAGTCTCCATATTCCAAAATGAGATTTGATAATTGGTTCAATGTTAACTTAAGGATTGAAGTAGCGTCTCACATGAGGAGGAAAGGAGAAAACGTTCAATGGCACTAGTGTACTATAATCAAAATTTGGGGGCATTTAATAAGCATTATGAAGAGTGTATCTTAGTATTAAGCCCTCTCAGTGCTTCAAGTGGGTCCACCCCTGAAAGGGACTAGCAAGGCCCATTCCCAGCGGCTGATCACATATACCAGGCATAGGAAGTACGTAGAGGTTTAACACTATGTATAAAATATCTGTAAACATTTCTTCTTCCTCCATTCTTTGCATGAGAACTTGATGTTTCTTCCTTTACGTGCACCTATAAACCCAAGCTACTCACATATTTGGGTCTAGCTAATATCTATTCACCAACATGTAAGATAGCTGTTTGAATTTAGAATTATCTGGCTCAATTTCCGTCCTTAAATTATTTTTCAATTTCATGGTATTGCAGAATGTTGGCTCATAAGTTTGTGGAGCAATCAGCGGAATCAGGTCTTAATGCAAGGAAACAGAAGGCGGGGAAATCTTGGTGGTCATTTGGATGGTAAAACTTTTTTAGTAAAAAAATTTCATGTCCCATTGTTAATAATTAGAATGGATTTAATTTTAAATTTGATGGTGCTACTCTCTTATTATTATGCAAACCAGGACCAGTCAATCTCCTAGAGAGCAAAATGAGGCATTTCATTTCAGCGAAGAAGACTGGAACCGGTTAAATAAAATAATTGGGCATAAGGAAGGTGATGATGGGCTATCAGTTACAAGTAGCAAGGTGGATGCTCTTCATACTTTCTTAATAATTCACATGAAACATAATGCTTCAAAGCTTATAGGGGAAGCCAAAGAGCTTGTCGCTGAATTATCAAGTGAAGATCTCAGGTGCTCTATAAAGCTCTATCCAGAAACGAAGGTATTTGATATGAAGTTGGGCTCATACAAATTATCATCGCCAAAGGGTCCCCTTGCAGAGGTTTGACTTTCCCCCATGGAGTTGAGTGTATAATTTTATGTGTTTTGGTTTTTGGCTTGTTGAGCTAGGCTTGTGTTAACTGGTTTGTTGACTCTTGTTCCCTGCCTTTGCAGAGTGCAGCTTCGTATGACTCGTTAGTTGGTGTTTTCTGTTATAAACCTTTTGATAAGAAAGTGGATTGGAGCATGGTTGCCAAAGCTTCTCCATGTTACATGACTGTATGCTGCATTGCTGTCACTAAGTTTTTCTTTTCTTCATTCTTCCTTCTAGTTTGGAGTTTTATTTATTTTTCCACTTGTATGCTCTCTCTGGACAGTATTTGAAGGAAAGCGTTGATCAAATTCTAAATTTCTTTGAAAGTAGTAGTGCAGTAAGTCAGACCATAGCACGGGAAACTGCAGCTGCTGTGCAGGTATTACTTATCCTTCTGCTATTTAAGTCATGTTTGGTGAAAGGAATCTTTTCTAAGGGACAAGGAAATGGAGTGGGAGGGGGACAAGAAAAGGGGAGGGCTTTACTTAGTGGGGTACAAATGTTTGGTATAAAGATGGAAAAGAAGGGATTAATGCCTCTTTGTTTATCGTGGTTTGGTTTGTTAAACTATATTGGTTGAAAGTTTGAAGTGTAAAAGAATCATTCGTGTAAATGAACATTATATATATATATATATATGTATGTATGTATTTGGTCGGAGAAGAAAAACTACATCAAAGATATCAATCTTTTAAACTCATTGTTATTTTTAAGAATTAAAATTGATTCTCTTTTTTTGGGAACAAAGCATTAAAATTGAAAGTTACTATAAACTATTGTGGATGTATTATAAGATTTTAAAAGCACGACTATTAGATTATAATAAAATATTATAAATATTTAAAAATATTGTTTAAATTTTAATAATAATTTTGTTTGCGGCATTAGAAATAGAAGAAACTAAAAATAAAAGGTAACGGGTAGTAAAAAGTCTAAAGACAAGATAAATGCCATAATTATATAATATAAACTATAAGGATAAATATAACAAGCCTTATCTTACTAGATAGGGTTGGCTACATAGATTGCTTGACACTGTTGTGCTTTATCAACAACCATGCCTATGGGTATATCGTTACTCAGGAGATCTTTTTCTTTGGTCTTCCTCCGCATCTCTTTACAAGGTTTAAGACTATCTATTCCACTCTTCTCATTGGCGCTTCTCACAACCTTTTCTACATATATTCAAACCATCTCAAGTGATTTCTAACATCTTCTCCATAATAGGTGCCATACCTACTTTTTCTTGCATGCTCATTGCGGATTTGATCTTTCCATGTATGCCCATACATCTATTTTAACATTCCCATCTTTGTTGCTTCAACTTATGCTCTTGTTGTCTCTTTAAAGCCCAACATTTACTATCATATAACATGGTTGGTCTTATAGTAGTTTAGTAAAACTTCCCTTTAAGCTCATTAATTACTTTTTGATCACAAATAATTCTACTTTTTGATCACAAATAACTCTTGTAGCCTTTCTCCATTTGACCCGCATAGCTTGCATCTTATGTACAACATCGCCATTAATTTCATCATCATATTGAATAATTGCTCTTGAATATTTAAAATTTTTTACTTGTGGTATGGTCTGATCTCTCAATCTCATTTTTAAATTACTACTTACTGACTTTTTATTAAAATTATAATGCATATGTTCCATCTTACTCCTACTCAAGCGGAAACTCTTTGATTCCAAAGTCCTTCTCCATAACTCGAAGTTTGGAGTTAATCTCTTCTCTTGACTTTGCAATAAGAACTATATGATATGAAGAAGATAGAAGAAGTAGAATAGAAGAGAGAGATAAGATAGAATTTGAGAAGAAGAGGAAGAGAATTTAAAAAAGAAGGAAGGAACAGAGAGAAATTGAGAGAGAATCAGGAGGTTTCTGAATGATGCACTTTTATTATGATATCAGCCTAATTACAATTAAGAGAAACCAAGTATTTATAGGCTTTAGGTGTAGAATAGTCAAACAAAACAGCAAATGATCTAACTGCCCTTTAATAACCACCACTACCTGGATTACACATGGTTTTTATTATTTTATATATCACTATATCATTTGTAAAAAAATATGTAATTGGGAATTTCTTTTTGGATGCGCTCAATTAGAACATTGAAATCAGGTCAAACAAGTAAGGGCTTAAATATAATCCCTGATGTAGACCAATCTTTATAGAAAAGTTCTTTGTCTCACTGCTAGATGTTCTTCTACTAGTTGTTGCTCTTTCATACATATCTTGCATAGCTTTGGTATTAGTAACTCAAGCTCCATTCTTTTTCAAGGCTTTTTAAAATATTTTTTTTTGGCACATGATCATAAGTCTTTTCCAAATCAATGAAAACCATATGTAAGTCTCTAACTTTACATGATCATAGTTACTAAAATTTTGATAAGTAGGGAATAGGCTTTCTCTCAACTTTTTTGGGAGGAATGTAAGTTTCCCAACAAAACTTGTTGATTCGCACCACACATAAGAAAATCTTTTTCTCTCTCCCATTCCCTTTCCTTGCTTCTATTTTCCTCCTTAAAACATAGCCTTAATATAAAAGAAGGAAGTTATTTGGGTGAAAAGTTAAAAATAAAAATAAAACTAAGGCAGGCGCTCTTCAAGGTAAATTTGCCTGAGCTGATGTGCATGATAAAAAGAGATAGAGGATGATATGTGTAAGAGAGCCTGCATAAAAAATTGTTGTATATTTTGCCAAGGTCAGCTATATCAATTTTTTTTTAATTTCATATGCCACTTGTTTTGCCATGCTTTGATGGTAAAAATAGATTTTCTATTGTTTAATTGTTGAATGGCTGTTTTTCTTTCCAATTTTTTCACCCTGATAAAAGAATATTTTTTTTGAAGCACAGTGCTAATTGTTAAAAGAAGATATTTTCTTCTTGATATATGAACTGCTATAACCAACGTGTTCTCATGGCTTCTTTCACTGTTTGTAGATGACGATTGATGAAGTAAAGCGCACTGCTCAGCAGCAAATGAACAGAGCGTTGAAGGACCATGCTAGGTTAGTACGCCTATGAAATATTTGTGATTATGTGTCTGGTTCCTTAGTCACTTCAATACTTAATTAAATTAAGATTGACTTAATATAGCACAGCTAAACCCTTGGTCGTTATTTTCAAGGAGTAATTTAGGAGTTATCTTAGGTAGTTCTTGGTAATCAATTATTGATGCCAAAATCCTAAAAGTAAGATGGAGGTTGAAGGTCAGCTTGGATGGAAGGCAAAAGTTATCGAAGGTTGGAGAAGGTTGCATCTGGGTTCTTCACTGTTGATGAAGATGGTGGTGGGTTCCTCGCTACAGGGAGTGGGGACAGAATGGGGATGGGAATTATTTTCCAAGAAATTCCCCCCCTCCCCCATAGGTTCAGGCCAGGAATAATTTTCCAGCCTGAGAAGCCAAAATCATATGAACAAAACCAACAAGTTTGGCCTTTTTCACACTCACTCCTTTTCTATCTCAAATTCATGTGAACCAAATGGGGCCTAGGTCTCTTGAATTGAAATCGGAAAATGGAAAAACACTCCCCTAGCCTTCAATTTTCACTGCTTGAGTCCTAGCTTCATCTCCTGGCTTCTCTTTAATCACTTCCCTTCTTGCTTAAGCTTGCATGAATTTCGTCCTTCCTCCAAGATTCAGGCCACGCGTTACCACGGGAAATAATTGAAGATAAGAGAAGTGAGTTGGTGATGGACATTGTTATGGTGGTGTGAGTAAGAGGCAGTGGGAGATGACGATGGATGTTGGTGGAAGGAGTGTGTGAGGTAGATGATGGTGAGGTGAGGACGCTGCCACCTCTAAAACAAAAAGGAAGAAAAGAAAAGGAGAGGATGGTGGCTAGGTTAGTGAAGAATTAAGGAGCTTTTGTCCCGTGGCTAGATGAGTGGGTAGGAATAGGAGAATTTAGGGGAAATCTAAACCATTTAAATTGAATTAGCTTTCTGTACGGTTCTGTGGTGGGCTTTTTAAAGATGTTGCTTCAACCCTTAAATTGTGGTTTCCTTCTCTGTACAGATTATATACCATAACATTTGAAGAATCTCCAGCAAATAGGGTGAATGGACTGGTGGTGGTACTCTATATGCTTACTTGATTAGGAGATGTATCAATAGATGGGTGATAGGCAGTGTTGTACCAAAATTCAACCAATGACACCATCTTAGCCTGCTCTCTGGAAAAATCCAGTATCTCTAAGCACATATGGTTAACTTAAGTTTGTGCATCATTGAAATTGGGAAGTCAATTTGGTAGCTGTTTGCTAGAATTGAGCACAATTAGCCATCTTCATTTTGTTCATGCTTGATGTAGCTCCCAGCTCCTCATTGTGACTATTGGTTGACATATATGGAATCATTAGCCATATTTGTGATGAAGTCTTTGATATGCGGGACTGATTAACACAGCTTGTTTACCTTGGTGATGTTATATGTTCTAGACATGCAATGTCTCTAGATATTGGCGTTGGTGTGCACTGGATGCTTGCTGAGTTTGGCCATAAACTTTTGTGATCTAGTCTCTTGTGCCTATTGCAATTGAAGATTGGTTCTGCTACCTAAGTTTTTATAGATGTACTAATTAACTACTTTTATAAGTACTCTTTTATGTCACCATCTCTCTTGCATAAATGAACTTACACAAAAGGTGTCAAAAGTGGGTATCGTTAATGTATGGTTGAAGGATAGAGCAGACCAGACTACTCAATTGAGTAAAATGTAACTTGTAGAATTAGGTAGCAAATCAGTAATTGATCATTGGGAGGGAATAGAAGGACGGTTGGAGATGATAAAATATGAAGGATGTAAACATGTGGACGATAAAAATCTTCTATCCTGAAATCCATTTACAAAGAATCAGAAAATCTGTTATTACAATATTTCCATTTTTATAGGGCATATAAATATGGCTGAATTAGTTACTCTTAATTAATTCATTCTAACTAACTCATCTTGAGCTACTAACTTATATTACTAGCATGAAATCAGAGAATAATGTTGTTTTTTATTCATATGTCTGTTAATTTATACAAGGTGGAGAAGCTCCAGGGAGTTAATGCTGATATTGACATATTGCTCTAATTGAGCCTAAGAATATTTGTATAGTAAATAAAATATCTTATACTAATTATATTATATATGCACTGACCATTCTCTAGCGCTCCCCCTCAAATCGGAGTGTAAATGTTGTTATTCTCTAACAATGACAATCATTCCTGTATATCAAGGTGGCGCTTCTCTAGTACTTGTGTAATCTGTGCCCATATAGAATGCATGCCAATATGGTGACAGCAAATTGGTGATATTTTACTGATATAAACTGCTCTTCATCTATTAGGTTTTCATTGGACTTGGATATTGCAGCTCCAAAGATTACAATTCCCACTGATTTTTGTCCTGACAATACCCATGCCACAAAACTTCTGCTGGACCTTGGGAACTTGGTGATTCGTGCACAGGTTTGTATTGTTATAATTTTTTTGGGCAGCATCTTAATTTGAACCATTTTTAAGATGTTCCAAACTATGAAACGGTGCAGGATGACTGTCAACAGGAGTCAGATGAGAAGAATATGTACTTGCAGTTTGATTTAGTTTTAAGTGACGTGTCAGCATTTTTGTTTGATGGTGACTATTACTGGGGACAACCTCCACTAAATAAGTCAGTCTATGATGGCAATTGTTTTTTTCAAATCATTGACAAGTGTGGAGTCATCTTACATCTTCAACAGGTAAACTTCTTGACATTTCGAAATCTTTATCTATTTTGGTCTTCTGAGATATCCTTTTATTCTATCTTTTAAATGTGGTGAGTGAAAATGGTAATTAATTAGGATGGGAGACTCCAGAGTTAGTGGTTAGGGTAGCTATTTCATGCCTTTAATAATAAAGAGAAGCAGATAGAGGTCTAATTTAGAGGATTATTTGGCCTTCAGAAGAGCCTACCCAACTAACCCTTTTTTTTTTTTTGCCAACTACTCAACTAACCTTCGAGTACCATGTCCTGGGAAAGGGGTGATCATCAAGGGGGATTTAGTAGTTGAATGGAGATTCTCAAACCCTTGCATTGGAAGATGCAAAGGCATAGTGATAGGATATGGATGGGATGTAATTAGGTTTATTTTGGATATTTAAAATTATTTTATTATGATCATTTAAATAAGGATATTTAGAATATCCATTAGATTATTTAGGATTTAATTAGATTTTCTTCGGATATTTAGAATATCCATTAGATTATTTAGGATTTAATTAGATTTTCTTGTCAATATCTTTCTTAGGATTTATTTTGGATTTTATTCATTTTCAATGAAATAAGATATCTAGTAAATCGAGATGATCTGTTATCTTTTTGGATTAGATTAGGATTTATTTATTGTTATTTCTAGGGCTCTATAGATAATGTTACGGTTTTCTAATTGTATTTAGATTAGACATTAGTATTGAATAAAGAGTTCCTATTTTATTGGCCTCCTTTCTATTTTTCTCTCCCCCTTCCTCCTCTCTCTATATCAGAGATTGAGGGTTCGACCAGTTCTTAATAATACAAGCAGTTTTATAAGGTCAATTTCCCCAAATAAGGGCTTTGAAATTCATTGCTGTATCAACTTTTTCCTCCCTAATCACATTCCTAATCTCCTGGTATTGATTGAAAGAATCTGATAAGCATCAACCAAGCATGCCTGATATCATATTGACGTTTCTTAGCTTTCTGATTTGTTATCAGATTCGGTCGAAGACTCCATATTATCCTTCAACACGTCTTGCTGTGCAGCTGCCCTCATTAGGCTTTCACTTTTCTCCTGCTCGTTATCATCGACTGATGCAGGTGATAAAGATCTTTGAGGGGGAGGATGATGAGAGATCAAAGTTCCTTCACCCTTGGGATCAGGCTGACCTTGAGGGGTGGTTGTCTCTTCTTACATGGAAGGTAATGGTCTGTTTCAATTGGTGTTTATGTTTGTCTCCCATGAGGTGTTGTCTTCTGATGTAGAATGCTGCTTGTCTTGTATTGTTATAGGGTGTGGGAAGTAGGGAAGCTGTATGGCAATTACGATACTTCCGCTTAGTTGGACGTTTTCTTTATGTGCTTGAAAGCCCTGACTCTAAATCTTACAAGCAGTATACAAGGTGCATATCCATTTTCTACTGTTCTATTTAAGGCAATCTGTAAAATTTGACTTAGATGAGATGTTAAACAACCTTATAATTATTATAGAAAGGAGATAAATTCTTTAGTAAGTGTAAAATTCTTTACGTAGTCTATTTCCTTTATATATTTAACTGTCTTCAACTCTCAGTTTTCCAGACAAAAAGCACACTTAATCTACAAGAGGGATCAAGTAACCCAGTCTTTGGGTAAATGAATATGATATGATAATAGAAGATCTGTTGCATGCTTTGCTTAAAAACTTATACTGAGGTGGTATACTCAATTTGCACCAATTGGCGGTAAATTCAATTCTGAATGGTGTTTCATGGGAAATATGGAAGAATCCCTGTATCAAACAGAAGTTTTAGTATTTTCTGTGTCTTTTTAATATTGTTTCCTGATATTTTTGGAGCAAAAATTTGATTTTGCTTGAACACAAGTGGCTGTTTGCTTTATCCCAAATCTTTGTTTTTTTTTTTAATTGTTGAGATATGGTCATGCTGCTGATCAGTGGGTTGATGTTTCCACACATTTTATTTGCATATAAACGTTTTTGGCTTATGAGAGCTTTTTCCCCCTTGAAAGAACATTTACAAATCTTTTAAATTATCTACATGCTGATAAGATCCAAGATAGGTAGAGCGAAAGGAAGAGGGAAAATCTTTATTAAAATTGAAATCAGAATGTAACTTCACAAATTAATAAAAATTGAGGAAAATCATTACTAAAGATGAGTAAGAGTCTTTAATTGATACAATTAATAAAGCCTAAAGTGAACTCCCAAAATTGCAACTACAATGAATTTCATTCTGCCTAGCCTCACTATCGACTCTCTATTTATAATATAGACATTAAATAATAATAAATAAATTAGAAAACAATCACCAACTCCTAACAATTGACCTTGTAATAAAAAAATCCTAATTTATTTATAAATAATATCTCATTATTTTGGCAAGAATCTTATCTCATTCTTGTGGAATTTCAGAGAAAAGATAATTCTTATATTATCATACTGAGGTACATACTGACTATATATACAAGAAGGGAAATAATTACTAATAATGACTAATAAGAGCTATAATAAATACTAATGAAGGCTATACAATATTTACAATAAAGATTAGATATCCCATACTCCCTTTCAAGTTGGATCATAGATACTAATCATGTCCGACTTGCTTATACAATTGTCAATGCAGGTCCAATTA